AGTTAAAGCATGAAGTGTTACGCTATACTATGATTACTTTTATCATGTCAAGCCGAATTATGTCTGCAATTTGATTGGTTCTTTTTTTCCGATCTCTTGGAGGACAGACAACAACATGTGGATGACAACATTATTGACCGTTCTTTTGCTTCTCTTTTGAACTTCTAAGATCGGTACACAAACGCCTTTTCACAGGAAGATAGAACAGTCCTTAGATTGCAAAATAAATGTTGCAACAGCAGACATCTAAAGTTTTTCTTTTTTTTTTAGGGCAATTTTCAAGCTGAATGCCTTTTGTTTTATACATGATGTTGAATTTTTATGGAATTTTTGTATACTAATGTTATCAATTATTGTTTGTAAATAATCTTGGATTGTTATTAAACAAAGTGTGTATCCATGAGTTTTTCTTGGATTTTTACTAGACATTTTGACACATTTTTTTTTCTCAATTTTTAAGCATTTTATCATAATTTTGTAAATATTTAGTGATTATAGTGAATAAAGGTCTACAATTTTTCTTAATGTTCTTTTGCTTCTTTATTATACAAACACACAAATTCCATTTTACCGTTGGTCTGTTCAGATCACAGGAGACGTCCAAATTGGTAAGAACATCAGTTACACATTTGGCTGTGCCTCGTGTGCCACTTCTTTGTTCTTACCACATTTGACATTGTCTGTCACTGAATAGACACATGGCAACATGGAATCTTTTTGTAAATCAGACTTCCTATGGACTCTGAAATAGAAAAGTGTCATTAATGTTTACTCAAGTGTCTCACCTGGCCATCCCCTCTTTCTCTTGCATTCACTTTCCTGTCAGCTTCTTCCCGCTCACTTCGTTTATAGTCATCCTCTCCTTTGACCTCATTGTCTTTGCCTTCATTTTCTTCATCATCTTCTTCCGCCTCCTCTTCACTTTGCTTTGTTAAATCACAAAAATAGTACTAACAGTTAATTAAACAAATTGATTTTAATCTAAGAGAAAATGTAAAACTTCCATTAGTGATTTCGTAAAATTCTAATAAAAATAGTGATCATTGATAGTTATAGTGATAACAGAACAACTACTTGCAGCAATTA